GGCTGCTGCCGCGCAGGACACCGCCAACAATCTGGCACAAACGGTAAGGCAACCGCCAGCAATAATTGTCAAAATTCGTAAAAAATGCAAAACAGAAATGGATAATTTTTGTAAATTACGCATTTGTAAATAAAAGAATAATAGAAGAGGTCTCTTTGTCACGACTTGGTTGCGAACAAGTGTTCTCGGAGAATATTGACATAAATTTATTTTTAACTGTTTGAAAAAATGAGAATTTTGCGATTTTTTAGAAAATTTTTTTATTAATTATTCGTTCTGATATTTTTGAGTTAACGAAGGTGTGCATGTTGATGTGCAATGTTTCGAAATAAATCGAGCCGCGCGTATACACCACGAGTATCGTGATCATACATAATCGTTAAATAAAGGCTAAATTTAAGTTTGACGGCGGGGTAGATAGAGTGCTCACGAATTAGCAAGTACCGCGAATTAGTTTCTAATTCTGTAAAAGCTATTTTCTCGCTCGCCTGTTCCGCGAGTGGCCGATGATTGTTTTTTATGCTTGACATAAGACGTAGACCGTTCGTTGTACCAATTAGAGATTGCCACATTGTCCTCTTAGATATTTTACCACTGTGACAAGTGGAGGAAATGGTAGGAACGCGCTGTACTGTGATGTTCCCAACTTATAAAATTAGACTCAATTTGGAGCAAGTTATGTCTATTGTATTTATGTACAACGACGTAAATGAAAGCGACAGAAATCTCGGCGATTTAAATGAGGAGCTTACTTAAACGGACGTTTAAGATCGGATGTTTCAGATCACTACATATTTTCTGAATGAAGTCGCTCAAATGATGTCTGAAGATAAAGCTTTTTGTACATTTACTTCTTTTTAACTATTATACAAAATTTATTATAAATGCAATCCCTTCAGTTTTATTTAGAGTACAGGTAATTGATGTAGCACAATTAATCTTTCCGCAGGTACAGGGTCAGTATCAGGTGATACCGGCTTACTACGATCAGAACGGTTCCATCGTCATGGGAGGGGTGCGCGGATTAAGTTCGGCAGCGACCCCCATGAGATTAGTCAGCCCCGCACCAGTTCTCGTAAACAGAGCTCCGTCTCAACCACCACCGGGTCCACCGGCACCGCCACCGCCAAATTTATATTCTCAACCAACTCCGACATCACACAGCAACGCTACGCCTGGCGAATGTCTAGGTGAGTCTAACGGGAATCCAATATGCCGTATGACCACGGTCCTCTTTGTAAACATACTTGTAAGAAGTCTTGTAAAGTCATGCTGTGTGTAATATCTTGTAAAGATCTATCCCTCCCTTATCTATTCCCTCATCGTGTAATACGTGTGTAATGCATGACTGTGTGATGCGAAACGAAATTATATGACAGTCGTTCGATTATGATAACGTAAATATGTGCTATCATCGTTAACGTCCACTTTTGCCGTTCACGATTGACTCGTTCGTTCCCTGTAAATACGCGTAAAACACGCCCGGCACTACCTATGTAACATCACTATAAGAAAAAGCGAGAGGACAGGTACTACTATTGACGGCACGATTCCGAGTCGCAGATAAGGATATGCGCGGGTAGCAAAGAGGAGCAGCGCCTTTGGGTCCACCACCGCAAAAAGGATACTGCGCACAATAGCAGAGAAAAAAAGAGGATAATTTTATTAAATCGTCGCAAATTTAAGAAATGTCGGATTTTAAATTAAATGTAGCAAATAAATTAATATCTTCTAGAGTCGATTATTACATCATAATTTTCTCATAAAATTACGAAGTCATTTTTCTGGAATTTTTGCGAATGCTCTCTTTAGTAAATACAGAAATGTAAAAAAATAAGAAAGTTTCTATAGTGGTACATTATGATTTAAAGTCAGATGTGATGTAGGAAAAGTAATATAAATTAAGAATAGTAATTACATTAACGTGACAAAATGAATATCGCTGTACAAAGAATTCAACATTCAGAATACGAACTTGTGAGAGCGTGTTTTTTTTTAATTCTTTCTGCTTTTAAATTTTCTACGTTTAATTATACTATTTTATAAAATTACTATAATTACTTTCAATTACTTCAAATATATAAATAATACAACTAACTGCTTGCGATTGCACATATCTTTCCTCGGAAATCGTCTACGATACGATCACGATCGTGGCGCAGAATCGATGTTTCGCACGCAATGGCCTGAAATTCGACTTCTTTCGGGTTTTCCTATACGACGTTCGCGGACACGCGATTGCGATATGTAGACCGCCAGGCTTCTCCGTAGACGGTATAAGGCTCGGTAACATACGCTAATCAACACTTACGACGACTAAGAAAGCGCGTGTGGGTTGCGGGCTTTTGGTGCAGGTCTGGCAGCGTGCAGCGCAGCGGCAGTGGTCGCGCAAGCCCAGGCAGTTGCGGTGCAACAGGCGCAGCAGCAAGGCTCAGGACTTGCCGCAGGTTTAGCGGCTCTAGGATATGGTGGCTCCCCGCTCGGAGCGTTGGGCTCGCCTGCCCAACTACAAAACACAGGTATATCATCCGTGATCATGCTCGATCCTCCCCTTCCTTCTCCTCGGGCACCTTTGTTCTCGGTGAATTCTCTATTTTCCAGGAAAACAGCGCTTTCTCGATTTCTTAAACCCGCGAATTTGTTTTCAGGCAAAAAAAGTTTCATATCTGTATTCTTGAAGACCTGACACGATGGAGCTTTTTTCCATAAATTTATAACATATATATATATATATTCATTTCGTTTTTAAGCATACAGATTGGAAACGAGCTCTTCAATTTTCGAAGTTATCTTGTACATATAAACCGATGTAATAGCGATAATTTCTAAAATACCAGAGGAATGTATAATAAGTATGCTAAGTATTGAGAAAAATCTGCACAACTTATCAAATTAAAATTTTTTTAATGGGAGAAAATAGTAATATAATTGTCATTGTTTATAGTAGTTACATAGTATCTCTCGTAGAAATATTTAGATTAAGTTTATGTAAAAATATTGTATGGAGATATGTATATTTTACTTTATCTTATGTTATGTAATGAAAATAAGACATCCTGAGATATTGAGCTCATCAACTCGAGTGCTTTTTTCCTGGGATCAGAGAAATTCCTTTTGGCTCTCTACAGTGGTGGTGTGTACGGATTTTCATGTACAAAAAAATAAATAAAGAGTAACGTAAGGTGTTGCATGCTTCATACAATCTAATTGATTTGTACTTTCGTGTTGAATATAGTCAACTCTCGTTCAACGACGTGCCTTTCTCAATAGAGCGTTTGTGCCGATTTGTTGAATATTCGTAATCTATTTGATACCATCACGTCTCTTATATGCTCGATACCGGTTGCCTTCGAGCATCCCGTGTTAAGATGACGGTGTCCGTCTTGTGTGCAGGTTTAGGCCTCGGTGCGTCTTCAACCGGCAGACGTGATTCCTTTGATAGAAATACTTCAGCCTTCAGTCCAAGCTTGGAATATAGCCGGGCGAAGTGGCCTCAGAGTTACGGCGCCCTCGGTAAGAACAGTTTTGTTGTGTGTGAAATGTACTCCGATATACGGGGTGTAGGGCGTCTAGAAAAACATGTTCGAATGTTCTCGTTGTGTAGAAAACGTACGGAGAAGTGCAAGTGATACAGTGCTTTCCACTTGATGATACAAGTCGATACAAGAATCGTTCCGTCTTCGTTACTCATGGAATGTCAAGAAAGATAGAACAAGATTTGTATCAACTTGTGTCACTAAATGGAAAGCGCTTATAATGAAAGTTGAAGGAGGAATTATCTTCACCTTATCGACTTTTGTGTTGTCTCTTTTTACCATACGTTAACGCGCAATGAAAGATACTTTCGAAAATTTGAATGTGTCACTTTAGACGCCTGTACACGACGGCTGTGAGGCATCTCGGAATCGCCATAGACGCTCGATTATCTATGTTGTACATTGTGTCTTAATAATATATCGTAATCCATTTGTACACGTGCTTTTGTATACATAACTCAGCTATGATAACAACACTACCCTTTCTCTCTAAACTGATTCCAACGTATAAATTATCCTGATGCTTGAAAACGTCTTAATTGGGAGTGAGTAAACGTCCGCAAGGACGACTGGTTTAGAGAGCGATCAGTGTCGCCACTGCAATCCGTAACAATTTTAACATAACACACGGGATTAGACTTAGCCATTATACAGTGTACATTGCTTCTGTACAAAATTGTACAGCGCATCATTCACAATCAGTAAGATAAGAAGTACTATTTTCTCTAGATACAGGTACCTGGGACAGAGTGTATTTAGCTACAAATGCAGGTACTCCCTGCAAAGAATATACAGACACAGGTATATACAGATATAGATCGAGCATAATTAGATACGAGCGCTTAGGCTTCTTATTCTTCATGTAATTTTAGGAAATTTTGGAGTCGATTTTTGTTTAACGAATAAACAAGAATCAGCGATATTTTGAGTAATTAATAATATAAGCTAAGAGACTTATTGGAATTGAGCTTTTTAGTAATTAAAATAATTAATCTTCTTCGTTTGATTTAAAATAAATATTATAGCAAAATTTTTTTATTTACAAAAACATGTGATATTCGAAATCGGAGATCGCTGCAAAAGATAGCGATCTTTGATATTCGAGGAAGAATCGACTCCAAATTTATCAAAGAATCTGTCATTAAGTGCTTTGATTTATTATGCAGGTACAGTTACTGCGTCACCAAGTCCCTTAGGCTTGTCATTAACACCCCCGCCAACTTTAGGAGGATCATTGGGTGGTCTTGTTGGAGGTGCCAGTCGAGTATCAGCGGCTCCCGGTGCCGAAGCGAAGTTCCGCGCCAGCGCGGTACCCACCCTAACAGCCAACGGAGTGTTTGGCTCTAGTAGCTCTCTGTTTCCTAATCTTGTAGGCAAACCTGGCCGTGGAGGTGCCGCTAATATCAACGACAAAAATTCTGGAGGACGATCTCGCCTATTGGAAGATTTTCGAAATAATCGGTAAAATTAATGGACTTTCTTACAATTTTCCAGTATTTAAATGTTTACAACGAAGGATTATACAATTTTTTGTACTTTTATTATAATAAATTAGTTTCCTGAAGACATGTAAATAGAATAGATCGGAAAATTTATGACGCAGGCTTTCTTTGGATTATCTTGCTTAATCTAGTTTAAATCTGTCTTGCATGTGTTCTGCCTTCTCTAAAAATAGATTTTTATGACAATTGATTAAGATATTTATTAATTTAAGAAAATTAAGAAAAAGATATACTTTAAATTCTACTTTTTTCTCATGCACCACAAATGGTGTATGAGAAAAAAGAAAATTACTTAGGGCACGGTCAACGTGATGCTACAAATGCTTTGAAGCGTCTTTTAATTAGTCAGTTTGTAAAATTCTTGTGTGTGTGTGTGTGTGTGTGTAGTGAGAAAAAATTACGTATGATCTCTTGCTTCTGACGACGCAATCAGTAGCTTTATTCCAGCGCGCAAGTGAACAATACGCTAATAAATTATACGTGTTCTTTTCTCGTTAGTTTCCCGAGTCTTCAGTTGCGTGATTTGGCTAATCACATCGTCGAGTTCAGTCAAGATCAGCATGGTTCGCGATTCATTCAACAGAAATTGGAACGAGCCTCGGCCAGCGAGAAGCAGCTTGTATTCCAAGAGATCCTTTCCTCCGCATATTCTCTCATGACTGATGTCTTCGGAAATTATGTTATACAGAAGTTCTTTGAATACGGTACACAAGAACAGAAATCGACTCTCGCACAAAAGGTAAATTTTAGTTATACCTGCAAAAATTATTTTATCTAGAAGAATTGATTAGAGCTAATTCACTTTATTCTAATAATTTTCGATAATTCAATAATGAACAGGCCATGTGTTAAAGAGTTTCTTAACGCTTTAATAAATAATCTTATCAATCATATCTTTGATTTTATATTGTTTTTTGTGAACAGTCTTTTCATTTTTTAAATTATTATCTATATCTTTTATGCAAAATATTTTCTATATACATTCTCAAAAAACCAGTCTTAGATTATAAATGCTATTGTTATTTTATTACTACTATTACTTTTTATTATGACTCATTATATTAGATATGACGAAAAAAATTTTGCGTGTCATCTGATTCAATGTGATTAGATATGAAATATTCTGATAATTTAACAAGTAATTACATTAAAAATATCTTTATGAGTACTTTTGTTTTATTTTTATTTTTTTTTATATTAGGTTCGAGGACATGTTTTACCACTTGCGCTGCAGATGTATGGCTGCAGAGTCATACAGAAAGCACTCGAGTCGATCGGACCGGAACAGCAGCAGGAAATCGTACGAGAACTAGATGGGCATGTGTTGAAGTGTGTTAAGGATCAAAACGGGAATCACGTTGTGCAGAAATGCATCGAGTGCGTTGAACCCCGAGCATTGCAGTTCGTGATAGGAGCCTTTGCGGGACAGGTATACTCTTTGAGTACTCATCCGTATGGCTGCCGAGTGATCCAGCGTATCCTCGAACATTGCACCGCTGAACAAACTCAAGGAATTTTGCAAGAATTACACGCTGCCACTGATCAACTAATTCAAGATCAATATGGCAATTATGTCATTCAACATGTACTTGGTAAATATCATTTATTTTATATTGATGCGATTATTATTAGAGCTAAAGATCTTTTAAATGAAATCAGTTAAAAAATTTCAATACACATTACCGATTTTGATAATCGATTATATATGGATATTATAAATGGATTATTACTAAAGTAGATCGTATATAATAGTATCTGTATCATCTTTATAATTCTATCTATTTTTATCATTTTGTACTATTCTTATTATTAATGAAAAAAAAGTTATTTACATTACTATTAATTTACATTACTATTAATAACTCAAATATTATTATGTAGTAAATATGATAATATTAATAATGAATGCTTAAAATTCTTAATATATTAATAATAAAATTATCTATTTCATAGAGCACGGAAAGCCAGAGGACAAAGCACAATTAATCAGCAGCGTTAGAGGTAAAGTACTCGCTCTTTCTCAGCACAAGTTTGCGAGTAACGTCGTCGAAAAATGTGTGACTCATGCTACAAGACAGGAACGCGCTGTACTAATTGAAGAAGTTTGCGGTTTCAATGACAAGTAAGTGTATTTTTGGAAGATCTAAAACATATTCTCAAGAGTCTAAATGTTTATTGTTTATTTATTTGTTTCTTCTCATTGCACAGTGCACTGAACGTGATGATGAAGGATCAGTATGCCAATTACGTCGTCCAAAAGATGATTGACGTCGCGGAGCCAGCGCAGCGCAAGGTGCTGATGCATAAGATCCGGCCGCATTTGGGAAGTTTACGCAAATACACCTATGGCAAGCACATCATTGTTAAATTGGAAAAGTTCTTCATGAAGACCGCTTCAGCGATGGGAGTAGGAGCGACGTCTGCTGGTACATCAACAAGCAGCGGAGGCGGCGATCTCGGCCCAATCGGACCGCCCGCGTCTGCCGCGTCTGGTCCAGTCTCAACGTCGAACCAACAATCAACGCAGGTTTTATAAACGCGCATGCACGGAATAGCCTCTCTCCGCGGAAAAAGAAAAAAGATCCGCGAAGGAGGCAAGGAAAACCGCATGTCCGCATGTCGCGTTAAGTACTACCTTATCTTTTTACCTTAGCGAGATCTGTTCTACCTATCGACGGGAATCACGAATTTCAACGAATTTCCCACGTATGTTTCTTTTCTCGTTTTGCCCTATGTCCTTCGAAGATAAGAGAAAAAGAAGCGGAAAAATAAACTTCTCTAACGATTGTTTCTCGTGAGAAATTTGTTAATGTAACGATTTTTCTTATTTTTGCAATCACGAAGTCGACGATATTTGTACAGTAAACCAGCTTTTCTTCGGGACTCTGGCAATGCGAGATCAAATTATGGCGAAATCCGTTCTAACGAGAACCCCACGAAAAAAACAGTCCGTAGAAACGAGGATAGATACGTTGTAGCGCATTTTTCTATCGTTTTGCAACATGTACCCCTACTTGGAAAAGTACCACGTACGTAGAGATATTCGCATTACCGATCGAGCATATTGAGTAGAAGTGTTGCACTATGATTTCTGGTTTGCAAGCGATGATGTTTCTCACGATCGGCTCGAGTTTCAGGTACGTTTCACGACTAATCGGCGCACGCTGAGCTAAGCTATTGGCTAATATTGTGCCGCATAAAAATGCATTAAATTTCGTACAGATCCATAAAAGAGGATCACTCGATTATTAAATTATCGTGCAGAGCAGTTACGCTGGATTTATTAGATGCGTTACGTCCCCTCAATTCAGCACATAGAAAGGAAAATATGTAAGGGCTTTATTCTCTAAAAGTGAACAAAACGGAACATTACGGATGTGCGAAGCGCGATTCTCGTCAAGAATTATATTCGGCGAGAATCTTAACAACAAGCTTCTACGAGGGCGACGCGATAAAATCACGGACAGTTTTAGAGACAGTTAGGTCTTAGTGCTGCATGCATTTATATCGAATTGTACGAGGGTTGTAACACATTACATACACACACACACACACATACACACATACACACAAATAAACACGCCGCGAATAATGTGTGACGTTCCCGATCTCGCGTATACCGGGCCGCTTCCTCTCTTTTACACGCAACCTGCTTTAGTATTATTTTTAAACGCACGGTATGCGCCCGATCGACGAGTCAGCAGACGAGAAAATAAGGTTAAAACTTGAGAAATAGAAGTTTTTTTAGGAGTTATAGATATGTTGTTTAAATGTAGCATAGCGTTTGACATGGGAATGAAAAAAATCAGGCATAGACCCTTGGACCTCTGACCTGACCATCGATCTGTCCCCTTGAGACTATTAGGAACGTTCACACAAGGAGCGATTATTTCGTTATTCGATTTTTTTCTTTTCTTTTTTTCCTTATTTTTTTAACGTCAAAATAATCTTTAAAAAGTTTCTAAATGAAAAAAGGGTTAAATTTTTTTTCCTTTTTTGTTCGCCTTGATTTTCTATGAACGTAATCTACACAGAGGGAAGTGAAGACAGATACGAAAAAGCAGACAAAGTGAGACAACAAGATGAACTGTTCACGTTACCGCGTTCTCCTTTGTTAATTTTTTCATGTTCGTAGCTTCCGGAGTAAGGAACATGGCCTTTCCTCACTCTTTCCCTCTTTTTCTTATTTCCATCATTTCCCGTATATTCTCCCGTCCCTCGAGCCCTCTTGAGATCCTCGAATTTTGTAAATTGTGATATAAATAAATAACAAATGTGTATAGGTACAAATATCCGAAATACGCGAGGACCGATAAATTCAGTGAATATTTTATTTTCCCTTATTTCTTGACGGAGTCTGTGAATATTATGTATTATATAATAATTACTAATTATATTAAATTTATGATTTACGTTCTAAACGCTGCTGTCCCAACCGTAGTTACGCTCCCCCTCCCCCTCTAACCAAACTCATCCGATTTCACATTTTTCCGAAGTATCCAATTGTAAGATATAAACATATTTCATGGAGTTGCACTAGGCAAAAAGAAATTATATATACATACATATATAACTATAAATATATATATATATATAGAGAGAGATATCCCTCCCTGTCCTCCCCTTTAAATAATTTGCAGCTATCATTCTTGGAACGTAAAAGACGAAGACCATTGTACATTGTATAAATGATATAAACGCGTTCTCGAGAAACAAAAATATCAGAAGATCGTGCACAACGCATGTGTATCTATAATCCGTTCGCGCCATTTTCTCCCCATTATCTCTTCGGATATACATATATACATTCAGACACACACCACACTTTGAATATTTCAATTGTATTATAGACCGTTGGAGGACAAAGAGCGCACACTCAGCCATTTTCATTGGGATCGCGCGTACTTTATGCTACTGTGATGTAAGGATTCTCTTTTCTCGGTAAAAACAAATTTTTATACATAACTTAGTATTGCTTTCTTTCGATTATCAGCCGCCCTCTCGTGTATAATGATGTGATATATTTCGTTTCGAGATAGATGTTAAATATGTAGAAATCAAAGGGAAAAAAGGAAAATAAAAGAACTCACAAAACTCGCCAGCAAACTAGATTAAATGCCCGTCGCACGACTCTGTACAAAAAGAAAAAGCAAAGAAGAGGGAAGAACGTAGCAGCTTTCTTTGTAAGATATTGTAAATAACGATTTATTAACGAAATTGACAAATTCTTAAGTACCTCTTCTCTCCCTCTCTCCCCCCCCCCCCCCCCCCCAGCTATCACTCTCTCCCTCTCTCTCTTTCTTTCTTTCTCTTTGTTCGAAACAAAGGTTACCCTTGTCAAAATGCCGTTAAGGGGGTGGGTTACGGACAAACACGCGACGAAAGTAAACGCGGTATTTCATCGTTCGATGCCGCTTATGATGCGTAAATTCCACGAAATGCTTGACTCTCGCTTCTTCCTTGCAGCGGGCGACCCTTCCGAAAATCGCTGAGGCTGCACGTTCGCTCTATGTATCACACATATTTACATGATACTCACACACACAGAGTAACACATGCATATGTAATTGACACGCTGTAAAGAGGCGAAAAGTACGATAGACCTCTCGTGAATATAGACAGACATTCCAGTCGCCACCTCATCTTCAGTCGACAGGACGCCGGACCTGTAAAAACCGCTTTAAAAAAAAGAAAAAGTAACGAATTACGTAGAATGCGAGAAACGTGTAAAACGTGCTTGTAAAAAACTATGACAAGAAGAAAAAAAATAGTTCCTTCATCCGTAATAATGATAAATCGCGATCACGTGTTCATCTGTAAATTAAAAGTCGTTAAAGGGAAGAAGATACACTGCGCCTCTCATCTGTAATAGATTCCATCGATCGCACCTGACAAAATCGCGCATAAGGGAAGCGAGGTATAAATTAAGCGAGAAAAATGTTGCGAAAAAGGAAAAACGGCACGAAGCGTAAGTCGAACGCAAAATATCTCATGTCTTATCAGCTAACGTAAGATTATCGATTTATCTATCGTATTTTTAGTACTATTATCATTATATTATGATATTGTATTATTATTACTATTATTATTATGCTATCGTATATTGTTTGATTAACGGTCCTCTTTTCTCTCCCTATTTGATTATTCATTTCCGCTATTACTAATCGCGCTAGACATATGTAAATATATGTATATGCATATAAATCCGCACGTATATACATATACATACGTATGAGCACACGCATATATACATATATACATATACATATATACATATACGCATGTATAAGCTCGGCACATGTAACACACATTTATAAATATGATATAACATGTTCCAAGTACACTTGTCATTAATCTTTCCGATTGTCACATTTCTCCTATCTCTCTCTTCTTCTCCTCCTTTTCCCATGATAAAATCTCTCGAAAATTTGGTATGAACGTTTAGGGATAGAAATCGCATTAATCTAACAGTCTGTCGTCATATATCTACTTAAGCCTCCCTCTTGTACCAGACGAAAAAAAAGTAAAAGAATTTATCGATTTTTAATTATAAATAGTGTAAATTTTTTATATAGTGCAAAAAATGCGATATCGCTGATGAGACGCTGTCCGAGCAAATGCGTTTATTGCGTGTAAAGATATGGAGTGCGGAAAAAAAAGGAAAGGAACTTGTGACCGGTGAAATCATATGATCTTCATTCGATCTTTATCTGATCTTTATTATCTTTTGTCAGCTGTACACTTCCTAGAAATAAATTTTACGAATCACGTTGATCCAGACTGGGTTGAGTTTTCAAAGTATGATCGACCTCGTAAAAAAATTTCGTTTCCTTTCTTTTTTTTAATGAGCGTCTAAATTGACGATGACGTTGTTATGTTCGTTTGTTGCTTTTGACAGCAGTCTTGAACACCGTGATTTGTAAATTCGATCAAACTTTCATCTGCGAAAGAGAAGCAAAGGGAGAAGCGATTTATCCCGATTTTTCCGCATAAATTCTGGGACGTCTTTGCTGCTCTTTTGGTGTGATGATATGCGGAGATTTTTGCGAAACGAGAGCACTTTAGAGCATCGCATTCCCATAATGACGCATCTCCGAGAGTGAAGGTATATCTGAGTGGAAAAAATAGAAAAATTGTATCCATGAAATATTGCCGTATTATACAACGAACTTTCAGTTGATGTTCACTAACATGAAAAACAAGTAAAAAGAAGAATTACGGGAAGAGCAAATTTTACGAATCTTACACTTTTTCGTCACTTTGTGTTAAAGTACGGAAGATAAACTAATTATTTAGAGATTTATTGAATGTGTGTTTAAATCTGTTTGAAGTATACTTTTAGATGCTGCAAAATATTTTGAGTTTTGTAATCCTCGATTTTTTGACAATAATACTAACTTTGTCGATACTTACACGATATTTGTTTTTTTTTTATGAATGAATTCGTTGTATATATGACAATATTGCATAAAAAGCTGCAGCATTGCCGTGACCAAACTATTATGTAAAATTATTCTGTTTCTTCGAACATTTGTACTTCTGGATAAACTTTCGTCTTTCTGCTATTTCTCCTTCCTTTTTCTTCCCATTCCTTCTCTCTCTCTCTCTCTCTCTCTCTCTCTTTCTCGAATCTTCTTTCTGTCCTATTCTTTGAGAATCGACTCACAAAACGACCGGAAGACCCTTTCTCACCGGGACATTTAAAACGTTAAGTATAAGCAGATTAAGCAACCCTATAAATATTGATTATACATATATATAAATATATGTATACATATATATATCTGTATATGTATATCTAAGCCTTATCGGTATGATATATATATGTAATAAGTACTATTTAAATATTGTAACAATTGTATATGATTTTAATACTACACGCTAATTGTATCATATATATATGAAGGATCTGCGACCTCCCACTTTGCAGACATATACAGACAAAACATGCAAGTACATAAACAGCAGGCACATCCACACACACACACATTACATACAGGGCACATCGTATACACGTACATAAACGCTTAACACACAGACATATACACACGGTACCACATACACGCATATACTTGCAAAAGACGATTGTGCAATTTTAAAACAGAAAAAAGTCGATATTTCTTTTCAAGAAAGAAGTCGACACGCGGACATTCTTCGATTGCCCATGTATTCACTTCATGCCCACCGGATTCAACTGCCACGGCGCTGGTATATGAACAGTTGTTTATTCGAATGAAGGCCTCTCCGGCCCTTTCTGGAATATCGTCGGCCTTAAGGGAAAGCTTGTTGACATTCTAAAATTTCAACACCAGAAATTTCGTCTTTCTGTCGTTGTGTATCTTACATTTTTTCGATCGACATGATTGTCGTCTAATTGATTTTTTTTATAAAATATATAACAGAAGAGACGTAATAGAATTACTCAAGAATCAATTTTTGTTTCGATTGTATCTATAAAGACAAACTTGCAAAGACCTTAGGGTATTGACCTATCCTCACTTTGTGAACGAATATCCGTTTAGAGGGGGACAGGTTGATGCCTTTGGAGCTTTCGCCTTGAGACCGACGATACATAAAACCGCAATGAGGGATAAGCAAGCGAACATCAGCGGGAATGGTGCGCCCTGATATTAAGACTGATGTACAGTAGCGCGCTATTCTCATCACCACACATTTCACGGGTCATGCTTCTCCACCGCTCTTCTCTCCCTACGCCGAGACATTACTCGCCTCACACACTCGCGAATAACACGAACACAACAATACGGAATCGCAGGGCTAAACTAAGTATATATATATTTCGTATATATACCAAAAAAGAACATATATATTAAATATATATATAAATATCTCGTATATATTTGTCTGATATATGTCATATATGTAACGCGTAACACTGTTCGTATCAACCACCGGCTTCTATAAGAGTGCGACCCGAAAACATGGCGTTATCTCGCAAAAAAAACGCGGGATATCTCGAAAAAAAAAAAATTATCTTTGAAACGATCGGAAATGCCGGTATTATGAAATTCCGTAATTTGGATCGAATTCGCTTCGCGTAAAAAATGCTTCGACATCGGCAAAGGGACTTTCGCCGAGAGGAATACCTCGTGCAGGACGTACGATGATATACGAGCCGGTGGTACTGTCTGAGACACACACGATAGATGCAGAGGGAAATAAAAGAAAAAAATCAGTTGCAAGAAGTGTATTCCATGTTAGAAGATAATTAGATAAGTGGGACGGACAGACATACGGATTTAAAAGAGAAAAAAACGCAAGATCACATAACTTGTATATTAGTGTATAGAACGTAGAAGACGATGAAATAGCCATTGAAGAAAAAAAAGAATCATTTTCGACAATGTTTTTTACAAACAGGCAGAACAGTGCAAGTAGATTAAACAAAAGAAATAAAAAAAATAGAGAGAAAAATGTCATTGTACCATTAAAAGCGAGAAAAGGAAGGAAGAAAGAAGGAACATGCGCGCGAGAGAGAGCATTCATTTCCGAGGCAATCTCATCAGATGCGTTAAACAGAATGGGCGAAGTCTACGTTATTCCGCTACTTTACAAAAGCCACGAGCAAATTACGCGTACACAAAAAAACTTTAGATTCGTTTGATGGGAAACACAATAGGGCTCGATTACACTCACAGAATCTCCGAAACGTTTTAACGAACATGTTATTTGAGAATGACGCAAAGAAAATGCTATTGTTATTTTATGTTTTTTTTTTTTTTAAGGAATGTTTCTTTTCAATTTTGTTTCTCGTTCTGTCCCTGTTTGATTTATACTTTGCTTTATTTTGAAACAAAGTTGTTAACCATTCTTAGCGCGATGATTCGCGACATGATCATATAGAAATAATCACTTATCACGCCTTTATGCAATTGTAATCTGTTTGTAATCATCTCGAGAATGTATATAGAATTAAACAGAAATATTAAGCAGTATTGACTGTGAATATCTCATTTGAAATTACATCATAAATGACTTAGCTAGTTTACGTGATATATCAATAGCAATTTTAGTTTGAGTATTTATTTAACATTAATTTTAATTTAATGTTTTACATTAAAATTCATTACAAGTAACGTCGCAGTACTAAAAAATGCAATGCGATATAAAAAAGTTTCAATTTTCCGGGAACCTAATTGTCAAGTTATTCAATTGAGCTTATAAAAATCGTGGTTGAGAGGTCAGATTTCGTTGTATAAAAGCGTGAATTCTATTCGGATTTCTGTTCTATGTGGATTTATTTCTGGAATGAACCTGAATGGAAATTTACAATTTTAACTGTCACTTTTAACGTCTTATTATTAAAAGTGCCAGTTTTTTTCAGACGGATAGCATCGACTCGTAATATTGAATGTTTATTCAATATTACGAACCGAAAAAACTCCGCGATATTTTAATCAGTCTCGATATTTATAACTTTGCGTCGGTTTCCATCGCAGTTATTAAGAGCGTTACTTTCTTTATTTTCATAATAATCGACTGCGAATCCATCGCGCGCGTTGTCACGAATCGTTAATAAACCGATTTCGTTCGTTTTGTTTTATGATTATCCATCGACTCGAACGTTTTATCATACATTTGCGTTTCGATCTCATTCCTTTTAGCAATTTAATTGTCTACTGTAAAAGTTTTTCCACGCAGAGCATCCCTCTAATTTTAATTGATTTAATTTATTTTTCTCTCTCTCGCCCTCTCCTCGCGTTAAAAACAAATGTCGCGACAATGTAACTGCATTTTATACACTTATACATACACACACACACACACACACACACACACACACACACAGGACACTGAGGATTTAGACATCTATCGAGTTATTATCTTAGAATTGTCTCGGTAGCGGTCCGCCGCGCATTGAAATAATGAAGTAAATAAAGTTATAAATAATCAATTAAGAAAGGTTATACATATACTTGATTATAGCGATAAATAATATTTGTTCTCTGCAAATGGCTACGTATTACGACTAAGTAGATGCAGTGATTATTGTATTGATTAATCGTTTACAAATAATTACACACATGTATTGCTTTCGTCTTGCTTGAGTTTTGTTTCTTTTTTTATATGCAGCGAAAAATATCTACCTACTTTTAGATCTTATTTATTGTCATATCTCTCTTTCTCTCTCTCCGCCACATTTTATAAATTTGATACAAATTACACGTAGGGCGATCTATATTGCTAGCGGGAGGTCGAGGATGTTAGTCGCGATTTCCGTATCGCGAAAGTGATTTTTCATATTTCCCATTTCGATGTATTGAACGTACATACGTATACATAGATACGAAAATGTAATTCCGAATTTCACGGAAATTTCTCTGAGGATCTACCTCCTAGCGATACGATGCAGACAGCCGTACTGGTAGTTTGTGTTGATACTAAATAGCATTTTTCACTCATTAAGTAGGCATATCCACACACACACACACACACACACACACACACCTATTCACATCCCCCACATATACACATACACCAAGATACATGACGAGAGAAAAAGGAAAGGAAACACATGACACTCTCTATACACACATTTAACGAGATAAAAAAGTGGATAATGGATTAACGGTATTCTAAATGTAACATGTATATGATGGCTGTACAAATGTAACATTTTTTTCCATTATGTATGATGATAATGATAATGGTGAAAAAAGGGAAGATTTGATGCAAAAAAATGTAATTGAACAAAAAAAAATGGAAAAGAAACCGTGTGTGCGCGTCGATTGATGTGAACGCCGACGTTTCGAAAGCGATAAAGTCAATTCGTCGGCGCACCCGTGCGCGCGCGCGCGAGTGATTTACCAATAAAACTACTATTACTTTTAATTAATTATGAAATACCATTTCTGTAATAACATTATGATATAAAACCATACATTGAATGGCAAAAGTATGTGAGTTTTATTCCTATTCCCCATTATCTCATATTGACGTCATCTGAAATATCAATACTATATTTTGTATGTATGTGCATATGGGACGTTTCTGTCAAAAAGGACCTCGTCCATTTCGATTTTTGAGATAAAATGCTCTAAAAAAAAGCTTAAAATTTTTGTTAAAGCGACCATTTTTCGATGCCGTATGGTGTTTTTGAAAGTTCAAAATGGTGGACCCAGAGTTGCGAC